CTGAACACCACACAAGTGTTAATCAAGCATTAGGTGCGGCTTTTAGGTTTGCGTTTATTAAAAAAATGTTTTAGTAACACAATATAGTGCAGTCTTATAAAATACATTTAAAGCTTTACCTTTTTTAAATTTTGAAACCTGCCTACTGTCTTTATCTGTATACTGCTTTGTCTTTTCAGCCCTCGGCCCACCACAAACATTGTGCTTTGGTCCCACAAGACGAACATTTGTGCACCCCTGAAATAGAAACTTAAGTATATATAATAAACATATTATCACGTATTGGTAGTTATATATAGATATAACATTTGGGACATATTACTATTGCATGTATGTGCTTATATATGTATATGTGTAATACAAATTATTATTATTATTATTATTATTATTATTATTAATATTACATATGGGTATTTAAATATCTGTAATACATACGGGGCATATTATTAATATTTTAATTGCATATCGCTGCTGTCAGAATAAAACCTTTATATCTCCAAAATGGTAACTTTACAGGAGAAGGAAAAAACATACTTTACCTTTAATGTAAGTCTATGGAACCTGACTTTTTGTCCAAGTCATTTTGGGCCGTTTCTATTGGTCCATTCATCATGAAATTTACCTACAATGTAAAGGACAACAGGCATTTTCAAATTATGTCAAAAACTGAAAAATGACAAAAATGGAGAAACAAGGTTTTGTTCCGACAGCAGTAAAATAGTTCCACACATATAGAACATATGGAACACACTCAAATATGGCATTTTCTTGCAAGGTTTACTTTTAATTTATATTCATAACATATTGTTTATGTTTAACATATTAGAAAAATAAATCATACATACATACATACATCATCTAAACCGCTTATCCTTCTGGGTCGTGGTGGGGTGCTGGAGCCTATCCCAGTTGTCATTGGGCAGAAGGCAGGAAGGCTGGCAGTTTTATCCGGTAAAGCTAATGACTAGAGGCATTTGGGCCGAAACGATCTCAACCTATTCTCAAAAATAAAATAAAAATCCCATAGAATATAAAATGTGGCATAACTTTTGCACAGGCCGCATTTTACCCCCCCACCAGTATGTTAAATCCAGCATATAAGCAGTAATGGTGCATTAAATGTGTGTTCTCTCTCTGTAGAAGATTTCTTCGCCTATTTGCACTTAGAAAACCAACACAGCATGTAGTTTGACTGGCCTCGGAGTGGATTCTACAAGTCTGTAGAACTGCGCCGGTGGGAAGGAACGCTGCCCCCCCCACCCCCGACAGAATAACAGAGCCACTAGACTCCTTCACTGTAGGGGTCAACCATTCAGGCCAGTACCGTTCTCTTACATGCGTTTAACCACTTGTGGAGAACCTGGTGAAGGAGGACTCATCTGACCAGCTCACTGTTTTCCACATCTCTGTAGCCCAGCGTTGATGTTTCTACACCACTGAGCTCTCAGATGGGGAGTCGTCTTTGTATTGAGGGGTTTGAGCAGCAGCTCTACTGTAATGTCCCTCTGTACAGAGCTGTAGACGGACCATTCTCACGTCCTGCCTTGACATTCTCAGGTGTAGCTGCTCTTATGTATCACACTAACCATCACGCTCACTCAGTAGGCACCTTTAACCACAATTTCCAGCCAGTTTACTGATGTCTGTCCCACAGATCTGAATACAGATGTCACTTTAGTCACTGTTGCTGGTGAAACACTAGCCCAGAGGTCAACTGGACCCACATGCCACAGAGCTTGAGAGGCCTCTGCAATTGTTATGATTCTCCACTCATTCATTTCAGTTTTCCCTTATTTTGTCACCCGTCTGAATGTACAGATCACAAATTATTATTATTATTATTATTAGTAGTAGTAGTAGTAGTAGTATTAATAGTTATAGTAGGAATAGTAGTAGCAGTGGTGGTAGTGGTGTGGTGACTGTGATTGTGAGCCATGCATGTCATATACAATATCATAACACTAGATGGTGCCGTACTGAGTGTCACAGCTTCACAATTACTGTTGATTGCCCATGCAGGACCAGCTGAGCCTGAGCCTCTGTATTAAAAAAGATAATATTTGTCAAAATACAACTTGTCCAAACCATTCAAAGCGAATATGTGGATTTTTGCGTGGATTGGCAACCAAGAAAAGCTGAAGTATGCAAAACACTTTCAACAAATACAGACTGAATAGAGAATGTCTTCACAGTATAATCTCAACAATCATTATACAAAAAACAAACAAACAAAAAATATTCCAATTCCAATAAATGAAAAATGACAATGTCAGGTTAAAACAGTCTCCTTCCACACCCATACGCAAACCTGATACAGTATATGGCTATATATGCATGTTTTTAATAAAGGGTCATGCATGTGTTTTAAAGTACATACCATACATATTATGAATGTATTGATGGGGGAATACTTATATGGACCACATATTTACTATGTGCCTGATATATATTTATGTATACAAATAAATATATATTCATGGTTCATGCATATATGTCTGATGCAAACAACAAATAAAAGAGTAATACATGGCATCCATATATGATTAAAACATTTTAATATATACGGACGTCTTATATCACCATATATATAAGCGTATGTATGTATATATATTTATGAATATATATGGTGATATAAGACTGAAACATGTACCATTTGGCCAAAATGGCCAATTTTAAATAAGTGGGCACATGCACTTTTAGACGGTTCTTCAAGGGTCCTTTAGTAAAGACAGTGGTTCTATACAGAACCATGACTACTCAAAGAACCATTTGCATGATTAAAGGGTTCTTTGCATGGAGAAATAGGTCTTCAGATTGATAAAGAATGTGCCCCATCTGGTGTGAAAATGGTTCTGTGTAGCACGAATAAGGGTTCCAGCTTGACATTGTCACAATAGCAAAACACTTTGTGGTGCTATATAGAACCATTTCACTATGCAAAGAACCCTTTGAGCATGAAAATGGTTCTTTCAGTGTTGATGGGTCCATATAAAACCACTGTCTTAACTAAAAAACTCGAAGAACCATCTTTTCAAAGAGTGTATGTCATGTATTTGTCTATATATGTAATATAAGGGAAAATTCATATATGCTAATATGTGTCATATTTGAAATCCATGGATGGGTGTATTGCCACATATCAGATTTCTTTACAAAAATACAAAATAAAAGCATAAAAATGTTTTGTGTGTGTGTATATATATATATATATATATATATATATATATATATATATATATATATATATATATCCTAGTGTGCCATGTGGAGAACGTCCTGGCCTTTCCAATGATATATCATTTGTTGGGGTGAGTCATTCACAACAGGAGTTCTGCCTTTTGAAAATGGCTGCCATCTCAGCAACCACATTTTATGGGAGCAAGAGAAGTAAGTAGTTGAAAAATATGCATTTATGATGTTTCTAAAGAAAACTGTTTTAGCTAAATATCAGAGATTTTTTATTGATATACTTAGTCTGTTTTTACATGAAATTCATGGCATCACAGATGATAGGAAATTGACTGAGGCAGAGAAAATTGAAGGATGATCTCACCCCTCTTAGGGTCAGAAGCAACAACACGTAAGCTGAGCAGTTAAACACATTACTGTGATTTTACTGTATCTAGTTTTTCTTTTTGGTCCTCATTTTTTTGTACCGCCAGCATTTTAAGTATTACTCTTACTGCTAAATGGACAACTGGAATAAGTGTACGCCAGCATTTAGGCTCGGGATCTGAGCTTTATTTCATTTCCTAATTTATTAGAAAATCTCCTTTTATATAATTGCACATTTAAAAATTTAAAAAATGTAAAATAACTTCATTCTCTTCCCTCTCCATTTACACCTAAGATTCATCCCTACATGGAACAGTTTGCTGCTAAATGACACCCAAAGTTGTACTGACTGGGGGCCCTGGATTTACTTTGAGCTGTACATTGATGATCAGCACTTGTGATAAGGGTTTTGAAGTTGTTGTTTATGTTGCAGCTGGGTTTGGTCTGATGCAGCATAGGAAACAAGAAAAAGGACACAAACATAATTACTATCCAACGTCCTGTTGTCCACTATAAAGGACATTACATAAAAAATAAATAAAAGGTGTTTTTGAAAAAAAAATCACTGTGACAAGTTTTTTCAGCCAATAGACTTATTTAATCCGAAAGTTGCCGAAGTTCTCATATATATATACACACATCAGTTGACCTATTTACTCATCCATCCACCTATCCATCTATTTACACATCAATCAGTACTTCACCCAAATCTGCCCGTACTTCCATCCATCCACTTAACTATTTATTCACCCACCCATGCATACTGTTATGCATATATATATATATATATATATATATATATATATATATATATATATATATATATATATATATGTGTGTACACATCGCTGCTGTTGGAACAAAACCTTGTGTTTCCAAAATAGTAACTTTACAGGAGAAAGAAAAAACATACTTTACTTTTAATGTCTTTAATTGACTTTTATTTAATTTTTTTATTGACTTTTTTTAATTAAACGTTAATTTAGCTGACTTTTAAACTCAATAGAACCAGACATTTTTCCAAGTCATTTTGTGCCGTTTCTTTTGGTTCATTCATAATGAAATTTACACACAATATAAAGGGCGACAGACAGTTTCAAATTATGCCAAAAACTGAAAAACAACAAAAATGGAGATACGAGGTTTTGTTCCTTGTTTTTGTTTCGTTTTGTTTATATATATTTACGTGTGTATATATTACGCATATATAACTTGCATTGTTTTTAACCATAAAGAAGAACTCATTGTTTTTTTCCCTCCAAAATCATCTCCCTTCTATGACGCGCCTCTGATGCGATTGTGACGCAATGGCGTGGGCGGGGCGAAGGAGAGAAAGAAGAAAGACGCCGCTCTCACGTGGACAGAGAGGTTTTGTGATTTTTTTGTGCGGCGCCGACTCTGCAGGCTGTTTTCTGGAAACGTCCTAAGGGTGAGTAGCGGCTTATAGCGTGTATGTTGGAGTATGTGGCACGTAGAGCGTCTTCGGGAACGCGCAGGGAGTGTTCAGGGCTTTTTTTGTGCTCACCACGCACGTGAAAGGGCGCGCGGCAGCCGGCTGTTCCATCAGGTATTTGACCTATAAATGGGAGATGGGGGTTATAATTCACACTTCCAGTGAATGGCGTCCTATTTGGGGTCTTAACTGCAGCTCAAATGTCTGTTCTTGATACGAAGCTGAAGTCAGCTTCTTATTCGAATGTTCTCGTTCCACCTTAAATGGTGCAGTGGTTACATTCTGGCGCCATTTAAGGTGGAACGGGAAAATTCGAACAAGAAGCTGGAGAATAGGAAGCCAAGGCGAGCCTTGTGTAAGCTGTCCTGCCGCTCTGGTATTGCATGGCCGGTTTAAGCCAGCCAGCACATACATGGCAGAAAACGGCGAGCTTCATCCTCCACAGGAGGCCAGCAGACCCCAAAGCCTTATGGAGCAGCTAATGGTCCATTTTTCCTTCTTCACACACACGTTTGGAGCATGACATGGTTAGATAAGCTGGTAGCCTCACAACCTTCCCCACCCTAGAAGCCATGGAGAGATTTGAATCATGTGTCTGACAAAAACTGCTCACCTATTCATTATTTGTTAAAGGGGAATACCACCAGCTTTGAAAATTTTCTGGACAGTTCAGTCCTTCAGATGTAAACAGAGTCATTCAGAGTGGTTTGGTGTGAAATGGCTCATTGTAGAGATTCAGATTTATTAACAGTGGTGGTGATGGGAACCAGGAGGGTTTGCGATGTCTACACCACAAATATAGCCATTTTATTTACTACACAAAACCACCAGTGAACCTACATGCATGTTCTGAGTTTTTATATGGAACGTTGATGATGGTAAAATAGTGGAAAGTCTGAAAAAGTTAGTTTTCTTTGTGGACTATTTTGCCTCGCAGCGCCTAGACGAACCCCCGCACCATGAATGGATTAAGATAAATGGATAAAAAAACTAGCATAAACATTGTCATACATCAGGCAGCGTATCGCTGTTGTCGGAAGAAGACCTCTCCATTTTTGACGTTTTTCAGTTTGTGACATAATTTGAAAAAAAACCTGCTGCCCTTTCCAGTTTATGTAAATTTCATGATGAACTGACTAAAAGAAACGACCCGAAATGACGTGGAAAAATGTCTGGTTCCATTGACTTACATTAAAAGTAAAGTAGGTTTTTTCCTTCTCCTGTAAAGTTACCGTTTTCTAGACTTCTTCCGACCACAGCGATATATCTAACTATTGTATGTAATATCTTTCTGTAAGGGAGCTTGAAGAGGCATTAAATGTTAAACTCTTCAGACGTCTGGTTCCTATCACCACCACTGGGAACACTTCTGACTTGGTAAGTTTCTCTAGAACGGAGCGTTTCACACCAAACTACTCCGAATGACTCTGTTAACGTCTCAACCCTTCAATTATGTAGAAAGTAGAAAAATTGGAGGAATTTCCCTTCAAGCTCTTTGGGCTCCTCCAGTGGAGAAGCAAGTCAATCACACAGCCCAGCTGTAGGAGCGCCAATGGAGGGAGAGCTATTGGACAAAGGACAACACAGAGCCTGCGGGAGTTAACCCATGAAGTTCTCAGCAGGAACATATCAAATGTTTCGTTTTTTCACCAACAGTGCAACCATGGGAGAGATCTGTTCACTTTGTTTTAGCCATGTGATGTTCTCGGCCTCCTTTTATTAGCTTTTCAAAAAAGATTTGCCTTCGCCACTAGTTAGTTCGCCCACTCTCGGCACTGATCCCACATGCGGTGAGAAAAAGACCAGTGGATTCTCAGGACCGAGAATTCTACGGAGCTTTCCCCAAGAGGGTCCCGAGCCTCAAATAAATACTTCCACATGACCCCCTGTCCCCGTGCCAGAAGGAGCTGTTTCTGCACTCCCAGTGACGTCCAGAAACTCTTAAGATGTCACTCCATGGTTCTTATTGCGGTCAGGGTGCGGTCAGGGGGTTGGCTGTGGGGCTCCCCGTTTTGTGAAATTTCTTGGGATCGTTCTTTGCCCTGGGCTGCACTCAAATAAGCTTGACCACACGCACATAGTATAAGCAGAGAAAGGGCTCCACCCTTTGCAATCAGTTAACAGGCAGTTTCTATCCAATTTTTTAAAAAATCTGCATAATTCAGTGGTTGAGATCTAAAGTCTTTCAGAGTGGTTTAATCTAAAATGGTTAATTGTAGAGAAACTTACCGATTTAGATGTCTTTACAGTGGTGGTGATAGGAACCAGGGGTCACCATGACTACAACACAAATATAGCCATTTTGTTTACTATCCAAACCCACCAGTGAACCTACACGAGTCTTCTAAGGTTTATATGGAATGTTGATGATGGTAAAATAGTGATGAATCGGAAAAAAAAGTTTTCTTTTTTTGTTTTAACTGTATTTAAAAAAATGTTTTAGGTCAAAACCTTCTCAAAACCATCGCAAAACAATTTCATGTAATAACTTTCTGTGAGAGTGGACGTCTGGTTCCTATCGCCACCACTGTGAGCTGTTCTGAATCAGTTTCTCTAGAGCGTCAAACCACTCTGAATGACTTTGTTTACATCTTAACCATTGAATTATGTAGAATTTCTGTCTTTTTATCTCTGCATTACAAGCTTAACCTTATGTCATGATGTATTTAATGTATCAAAAGGCGTATCAGAATTGTTTTGTTATTTCATCTGTATTGTGCAGCCCGACTTAATGTGAACTAAAAGCTTGCCCTCCTCATCAAATAGTTCATCCATAGAAGGAAGCGGGCCTGCTGCTCCACATTGCCAAAGCTGGCAGTGTAAAAGGCCACCGGGGTCTAAAGGCTTGAGTAACAGTGACCCTTGTCTCATCCTGTGCCATTAAGGCCACAGTCAGAAGCTTGGCTGAAACTGCACCAGCCTGAAGACCTTTTCTTCCTTTTCCTCTGTGGTTTTGGGGCATCCGTCCTCTTCTCTCGTGTGTAATGCTTATCGTCCTTCGCAGAATGAGCGTAAATAAACAGCCTGCCGTCAGTGGCTTTGAAGCCTGAGCCCAGATCGATGGGCATCGCAAAGCAATTGACCCTCAAAGCAGTTTTGGGCACATAATTGGCTGCAGATAAACAGTTGTTAGCCACACGCTGTTGGGTTTTGGGAGTTTTACTGTAAGATACGTGCATTCATCCGCTTTTTCCCGTGATTTCCAATAGATGGGGCAATTTGAGGAGGTCCAGTAGATGTGTTTTTAGAGAAGGAAAGGTCAAAAGGCTTTGTGTTGGTGATACTTAGTTTTTCTGAGATTGGAAATTAGTGGTGGGCAATATGGCAGCATTTATTGCAGTGACAAATAACATGTTGTGGATATTATAAGTACTTAAAGAACACTGACTGAACTGCGTGTTTCATTTCACAGAGAGCATCTTTAGCCCTGTTTAATTGCATTTAATTGTGTATTGCATAGCCTTAATTTTATTTTAGTGGCCACTTATTGCAGGTTGACAGGCAGCTAGCAAGCGTTAAAGGGCCCGTATCCAGTCGCCTGCTACTACACTGACTAGGTAAGTAGCCGATAGGAACCAACTATCAGGAGAAGCAGTGGAGCAGGTTAATGCCGTGTTTACATGTTAGTATTGGAAAAAAAAATACATATAGAAGCGCTTTGTCTTTTATTTATTCAATAAAATCGAGAGTGCGAGAAAACAGCATCTTTGCCCAGCGTGGTTTCAAGTCTTGGAACCTCAGAAAAATGCAATATCATGATGCAGGTCATGTATCAAGAAAGTGTCTTGAAGTATCATAATAAGTGCACGAGCAATACAGTAGTGCCACCCAAAAACCCTGAGTACAGTGAGTTACTATAAACAGGTTGTTGTTGTTGTTGTTGTTGTTGTTGTTGTTGTTTATAGGCTCTCATTGGTCAAAATCTGTGCTTTAAAGGTTTTATAGACTTCTAGAAGTACTCACAAGACCCATCATATACCTATGAATATGTATTATCACATAATCCATCACAATAACATAGTCAGATTGCTCAGATTGTATGAAAGTGCTGAGGTTTGGGTGAGTCAAAGCTAGAAAGTCTTAAGTGAGTGAGAGTTGCCTCTTTGTGATCTGTTATTCCTGACTGAGTCAGGTTTTTATGGGACCAAACCTCATGCATGAATTTGGACTTGTTTCTCCAAAGTGTCAGTGTTTGTAAAAGACAACTTAGATTTTTTTTCCATATTTTAGAGAGATTTAATTGTGGTTTTGAACCAGTTTCCCATCAGAAATCAGCATCAGTCAATTATGTGAAATCATATTTGACCTATATCTCTACAAGATAATTGGCCTGTATTTGTTTTCTGTAGCCTACTTGTAAAGCACACATGCACCAGTGGTTAATGTCATAACGGTTGCCCACTGAGCTCGCTGATGGTGTTGTTTTACCCAGCAGGGGATCCTCAGACTGAGCGCTTTATGACTGCACAGAGTGACATTAAATGTCAGTCTGCTCTGGTCTACTTTTACTCACTAGGGCTGTTTACCCCTCCACGCTTTCCGCTGGCTGAGTCCTGCAGGTAGCGTTACACTACATAAAGGCCAGAGCAGCTCGTTTGATGAAGGAACAACGTGAAAGGGCACTGTGGTGTTTATCTTTTGTTTTTAAATGTATTTATTTAGTTTCATTTTTGTTGAAAGTTGAAAATTACTTGGAGCAGTTGTTCTTATTTGATATAATTAGTGTTGGATGGAAATCATAACTCATTCTCCTTCTGAACTGAGACTTAATGGGATCATAGTATCAAGGAGGAACGTCTTCTCTCCCAGATAGGTGGTTGGGGGTTGGAACTTATTTTTGGGTAATGTAGAGGTGAGCGATATGGCAAAAATACAATATCACAATTGAGGCTGTGCGATAAAACGATAATTATCGCGATATAACTTTCCTCTATAGAAATATAATAAATGTTCGGTTAATGTTTGATATAATAGACCATTCTCACACTTCCACGCTCAGCGACAGCCCTGGTGGCGTTTTCTGCTGCAAGGAAAGCAACACTACTCTGCTATTGCCAGGAGAGGGCGCACTTCTGGGCGAGTTTTACATGACTGGGGGGGTTAAAGAAGTGAAA